GGTTTTAGAGAGGTCAGCAATGAATATTGAGAGGAAACACAGCGAGTCAGGTAAAGTTGAGAAATTTGGAAATGGAGAAACCAGTAAGGAGGGGAAAGATGATTCAAGAACAAGGAGAGCTATGGGAAGGGTGGGATATGGAGTCGAGAAAGAATCGCTGAGTGACGAGCTCGAGATAGTTGAGAGTGAAGAGGATAACATGACACTTTCCCAAATGAAGGTTTTGGCGAAAAGGATGAAAAGGGGAGTCGAGGAAAATTTGACAGTGAAAGAGAAGGCGGCAGAAAGCGAGAAGGGAGAGGAGAACAATGAGGAAACAAATGAGAAGACTTTGAAGGTTTATACACGGAGAGTCCGGAAGGACCGTGATGCTGTAATTATAGACACAGGTACATCAGAAAAGGATGATTTAGAGGTTTTGCTAGAGGGGGAAAACATGAGACAGAATGAAACCGAAACGGGTGGCAAGAGAGAGAAGAGGGAAAGGCGACGGGTTTCCAAGTACGCGAATCACAAACCCAAGAATGTGGGGAATTTGAAAAATCAAGCGGATTTAGAGATTGAGAGGCTCATGGCCAGAAAGAACGGCAATCTTGAGATAATGCCGGTGGAGGATTCGGATTTTCACGATTTTGACCGGGATAGAAAAGGAAGGAGCTTCCAGAAAGGGCAGGTGTGGGCTGTATATGACGATGATGACGGGATGCCGAGGCACTATGCATTGATCGAGAAAATAATCTCTGGAAACCCTTTCGAGGTGAATCTGAGCTGGTTGCTGTTTCAGACCAAGGGCAATGAGAACATAAACCGGAGGAAAACGAGACTGCACGTCTCGTGCGGGAGCTTTGAGGTTTCTAGGAGAGTCTCCGTTAAGTATCTGAAATTATTTTCTCACGCTGTGAACTGTGAACGGGCAGCTAGGGAGGTGTACCGGATTTACCCCTCAAAAGGGTCAGTTTGGGCGCTTTATGGGAATAATGATGGTAGGGATAACAGGTGTTATAATATCGTTATATGCTTGAGTGGTTACAGTGAGTTATACGGGTTGAGTGTTGGGTACCTCGAGAAGGTGCCTGGTTTTAGGACGGTTTTCAAGAGAAAGGAAATTGGGGCGAATGGGGTCGTTAATCTTGGCAAAAATGATGTTAAGCTGTTTTCGCATCAGATTCCGGCAAAGAAACTGTCGGGTGAAGAGGCTTCAGG